GCATAGGTGATAGAATGAGACCCTATCTCTTAAAAAAAATACTGAGTAGGGAACTTAGCAATAACATACAAAGAAAACCTTGGTTCTTCTAAATCTCTGATATATAAAAGTAGAAATAAGGTTGAGGTGAAAAGAGAGAGAAAAGTGTAAGTGGGGGCAGGTTGATGGGAACTAATTAGGGCCTCGGTTGGCCTTTGTTTCGGAAGCACAGAGATTGCCTAGGTCAATGTCCAGGAATAAAGGCTCTGATAAACTACAGGGTCCATGTGGACACACTATAGTGCCTATTTAATTTACCCTTGAATACTCTGGAAGACTTGCTTTTGCTCAGTCTAGTCAAGCCATTTGGGGAGTTAAACCATAATCCAAAGATGCTTTACTAATTTACATGAAAAATTACCATCACAGGGAGGGGGCATATCAGAAGCCATTTCTTTTGGGGGGGGTGAGAGGCATAAGTATATGTTAGATTCAAATTATAAACAGAAAGTTGCCTGAAACACTGTTTGATGAATCAACTCTTTAATGGAATCATAGTAATCCTTTTCACTCTAGAGATGGTTTTTGTCAATGGGACCAAACATATAAATTCATTGATTTTCATGCTAGCACAATTCTTTTTAAACTTTAGTATACGTCAAAATCACTTAACAGGGCTTGATAAAACAGATTGCTGGGCTCCAACTCCAGAGTTTGATGCAGTAAGTCTGGGATGAGGGCCCAAGAATTTGCATTTCTCACAAGTTCCCAAGTAATGGCCATGTAAGTTGTCCGCACTTGAAAACCACTGGCTTAGTCATTGAGACTCTATAATGGTGAATAACACTTGTGATTAACATGGTTATAGTTAAATCCCAAGGCCTGAAAACATTCCTGCCTCTTTTAGACTGTTTTGCAATTCTTTGCTCTAATCCATTATTTGTTGACCTTCCAGTTTAACTCCCTTATAACCAAGTTCTTAGAAGGCACCATAATAATCTATGAAAACCCATGCCCATACATGTACACATACCACCAACACACTTTTTTTCTCCTTTGGGTTAGATTTTAAAAAATCTATAATAATTGGGTTAAATTAGAAAATCTAGAATAATTCTTATTAAACGTAAGATATGGGAGAAAAAAAGCCAATGAAGTATTTAATGTGAATTGGCACATGTGGATGGGGATGAAGATAGAGACGAGTATGATGTGGATCCTATCTCAAAGTTCATAATCCAGTTGGGTTCATTTGCCTGCTTTACAGTTCACAAGGTGCTTTTACATCATTATCTGATCCACTCAGAGAAATTAAGTAACTAATTAAAGGTCAAGAAGCAAGTGGAATGAGGTCTGTAACTCATGCCATCTGATGAGTAGATCATCAGACTTTCTAGTCCATTACACTCTTTCCTTAAGCTTCACACTTAAGAAACTATTTGTATTTGTTTTAAGACTTTGGCCAAAGGATGAAATTACCCCTTTAAAAAACTAGTCCCCAGTTCTAATGACATAAGGAAAAAGAAGTACGACTAACTCTTCTCTTTCTTATTTTCTCCTCAAGCTCTTCTTATCTTGCTAGAAAATCTTTGTCACCTTGTTGCTCTCAGACTTCCTATTTCACATTTTATAGGCCAAGGGGGCATATGGGAAGGGTGGCTATTTTGAATTGTTTTCTTAATACTCCAATGGTCTCCTTCAAGGGGACATGTTTTGTCTAATTTTTCTAAATGCAGTCATAACAAATTCCTAAAAAATAGTTTACTGACATTAAAATGAACATTCTAGAAAGGAAAGAGTGAGGCAGGCAGGGGACTGAAAATTAAATAAACAAAAAACAAAGAGACAAAATCTCCAGTGAAAGGAGAAATGTTAGTAAAAAAATACTTTGAAAACATTAACCTGAAAAGTCTTCGTGACTACAACACAGTTTGTCCATTGATGCTATCATTTATAGAGCACTTATTTATTTTCATTTCTATATAAGCATTTATCTATACATTCTACATGCCAGGCACTGTGCATAGGGATGTGTTAGGAAATGATAAAGTAAGTCTAGATTGGGAGACAGACACTCTTATGGGGAATTTATGATAGGGATGGAGAATGGGACAGAAATAGATGGAGAGGGTTAGAGTTGGCAAAAACAGGCTCTGTATTCAAGGAATTTATAATCTACTGGCTAAGACAGATAATGTATAGCTATCAATGAAGGGATATAAACAATATATGCAAGCTCCAGACTTCCATGTTTCAAGTGCTTACCTGAGAGCCAACTGTATTTGGATGTCTCATAACCATGTCAAAGTTTAATAGGTAAAAAACCTGAATTCTTAGTTTCCTCTCAAACCTCTTTCCCTGCAATTTTCTCCATCTCAGTAAATGGTACTACTCTCTAACCAGTAACTCAGGTCACACATCTAGGAGTCATCCTTCATTTCTCCCTTTCCCTGACATCCCATATCATACCCCCATAAGTAAGAACTTGAATCTATTTCCATATCTAGAAACCTCATCCACTTTTCTCCCATATATTCTGCCATTCACTTAATCCGAACCACCATCATTTCCTGCTTATGTTGCTGCATCAGCCTCCTAACTACATGATCTCTGCCCATCTCTCCAGACTCATCTCATATAACTAATTGTCCTTTCTGAGTATGTTCCAGCAACACTGGTCTTTTCTTGGGTTCTTGGATATGAAGATGGCAAACTCTTTTCTGCATCAGGCCCTTCCCAGATCCTATTTACTCTGTTTAGAGGGTTCTTCTTTTCCTCTCTTGTATGGCTGAATCAGTTTCATCTTGTAGGCTTCAATTTAAATATCAACTCCATAGAGGCCGGGTGTGGTGGCTCACGCCTGTAATCCTAGCACTCTGGGAGGCCAAGGTGGGTGGATTGCTCAAGGTCAGGAGTTTGAAACCAGTCTGAGCAAGAGAGAGAGACCCCTACTATAAATAGGAAGAAATTGATTGGCCAACTAATATAAGCCCGGCATGGTGGCGCATGCCTGTAGTCCCAGCTACTTGGGAGGCTGAGGCAGCAGGACTGCTTGAGCCCAGAAGTTTGAGGTTGCTGTGAGCTAGGCTGACTCCACGGCACTCTAGCCTAGGCAACAAAGCAAGACTCTGTCTCAAAAAAAAAAAAAAAAAAACCTCCATAGAAAGGCCTTCCTAGACCAATTTAACTCATGTGGTTCTCCTGTTATTCTCCTTAAGGCCATCCGTAAAAGGTAAGTTCCATTAGAATAAGAATCTACTTTACCATTGTCTTTCAGTACTAGACACAGTTCTAGACACAGAGGAAGGAAGGAGGCACTTTAAAACTATCTGCAGAATAAAATAAATAATTACTGGGTGTTCCGTAGGGCCAGGAAAGACTTTCTGACTTAAAAGGCTTTGCAAATTGAGACCTAAGGAATGAGTAAGAATTAGGCAGGTCAGGGACAAGGTTAGAAGAGGTCTGGAGGTGAGAGAAATGATGGCACGTTAGCGGAACTCAAACACATTCTGTATAGCTAGGGCGATGGAAAACCACTGGAGCTTCAGAGGCAGGCAAAGCCCAGACAAGAAGGAACCTGTAAGCCATGCTAACGAGTTGGGATTTAAACTCTCAGGGCAAATAGGGGCGCATGAAGGGTTTTAAATGAGGAGTGTCTCATCATATTTAAATTTTATCAGCCTGGCAATGTGGAGACTGGATTGGAAGGCAGCAAGACTGAGAGCAGGAGAACCAGGTGGGAGGCCACTGTCACAGCCATGTAGCAGTCATAGGGTTGAATCGAAGTAATATCAGTGACAGTGGAGAGACATGAACGGGTTTGAGATACTCACGGAGCTGGTAATGATTGCCTGGACATGAGACCCCATGAGGAAGGAATCTAAAAACTTGCAAGTTTCTGCTTTGAGTACATAGCTCAGTTAAGCAACTTCCCTTTGGGCCAACAAAGCAGTTTTGGAAAAGACGCCCGCTGGATATGTATTTGCATATCATATCGCAGAAGCGACAGTCGCGCCTTTTCCTCTCTGTATTTCTGAATTTAGAAGCTCACTCCGTGTCTAGCTGAATGACATAGTAAGTTTTCAATAAACATTCAAGTGACTGCAACAGCACTGAGTCTAAAAAAAAAAAAATGACTGACTTTTCACTCCACCCTCACGGCCGCCCTTTTATAGAGAAGGATGAGTCCTGAGAAAACAGGAAAAGGTGGAGGAAAACAGGAAAAGGGCTCTGACTCTCATTCATAATGAAGCTAAGGACCTCGTTAGGAGTCTCCAGCCCTCGAGCGCCCCGAGAGCCTCTTTACCCAGCTCCTCACCTGGGGCAGAAGACCTGGAGCCAGCCCAGGCGACGCTCAGAGACGCAGGCCGGCCGGACTCAGCAGCTCGCCGAGAACTCTCCAATCGAATCTCCCGCGTCCCCTTCCGCCGGAGGTGACGTTTTGGCCGTGGCTCCTCAGGGCCAATCAGAAGAAGGCGCCGTAGAGGGTGGAGACGCGCCACGAAATCCTGGCGGTATTTAGCAACAAACGCATTCGTCAAACTAGGGGCAGAGGCAAGGTTTGGGGAGATTTTCTTCTTCGACTGGCAGAGCCGTGGCACAGCCCGTAAAGTTGGTTTGGGGGCGGCTCTGAGCCACTTGGGCGTAGGGACTTGGGGAAGGCGTGGGAGCCGGCTGGAGCGTCCCTCTGACTGGGCTCTGGCGGCGTGCCTTGGGGGTGGAAGCGGGGTCCCCAGGGTTGGCGGAGCCGAGAAGGCAGGAGGGGGCGCTGTCCTGGCGGGGCGGGGAGTAGCAGGACCCCGGGCGGAGGGGGGACGGGGACCGCCGCAGGAGGTCCTGGGCAGGGGGGAGGCGGGGCTTGAAGTGGGTTGCTAGGTGCCCGGAGAGGAAAGGGGCGTACCCTGGAAGAAGGGGCTGGCAACGGGCGGGATTCAGGGGCGATGTTTGAGCCTTGGGCGACCTTGTCAGGGATGAGTTGTGCAGGCGACACGGAGGTTTGCGTAATTCAAGAGCAGAGTACCATAGGAGTGGTTGGACTGGCATAATGGAGGCAGGGTGCAAGGAGTGTAGCCTTTGCAGTCTGCGAAGCTGTGTTGCACTTCCTGTTATCTGAGTGACTCGGTGCAAGTCCCCGCACGTCTCTGAGCCTCAGTTTCCTCATCGGTAATTGAGAATAACAATCGTACAGGAGGCACAAGATTGCTGTCATGGTTGAGTTAGATGAGATGATGGGTGTGCCATCATGCCTAGTGATATGCTGGCATGTAGTGAGCCGTCAATAAATTGTCGTTGTGGCGATTTTTATTACCATTCTGTGAGATTTACGGAGCAGTTGTCGCCATGGGATTGAGGTGGCCAGGGCCGGTTTTGATGGCGATAATGAAGATAGGCATACAGGGCGACTCAGAGAAGAGATGGGCGTGGGGGGGGGGCTACAGATAGGGTTGAGATACCGCAGTGAGGTAGGAGGCGGCCCTGGCATGATAAGGTCAGACTTGGGGTGTGAGCTCAGTGAAGGCGAGCTCTAAGGAGCGGATGGCACGAGAGGGAAGTGGAGTGGCGGCAGTGCCCTCGGGGATGGGGGCAGTGTGGCGGGGGTTTGGGCGGCGTCGTTGAGGAGGTGGCTGGCTTTGGGTTTCCAGGGGGAGGAGCCTGTAGTGGCGGGCGGAGCTGCGGGCTGGGCCGGGCCTAAGGCTGGCTTTTGTGCCAGTCTCCCTACCGCCTTCCCACCCGCACTACAGCTGCCATCCTGAGCCATGGGCCGCCGAGCCCTCTTGCTCCTGCTCCTGGCATTCCTAGCGCCTGGGGCCGCCATAACCCTCCGACCGACCCTAAGGACCCTCGGCAGCCTGCATCTGCCAACTAGCTCTACATCCCGCTACGCTGTAGCCAGGAACTACTCCGTTCACTACTTCCAACAGAAGGTAAGGGGGGAAGGGGGCTTCGCGGTCCCAGGCCCAACCGCCCGGACCTCCGCCCCGCAGAGTCCGGGCAGCGGAGCCCACGCCGAAATTCAGACCCCCAAATGCCTGGTACCTCTCTGGTCTTTGGCTCGCACTTCCCAGAGGGTAGCCCCAAGTCCCAGTTCTGTTTAAAATTTCTCCTCCCATTACCAATAATTTGATATAAGTCCTGGCTCTATACCGTTGATTCAGGTTCTTTTGTAATCAGTCACTTCAACTCTCCCGCTCCCAGAGGATTCCCCAATGCAAAATCCCTTGACTTTCCCCTAAATTCAAATTATTGAATGCAACTCTGGCCCCTACTATGTGGTAACAGTCATCTTTTGCCCCAAGGCAGCCTCTAAATACAGATTTTCATATCTTTACCTTTTAGATGATACCGGATATTTATCCAGCCTAAAAGCCAGCGTGTCATCTAAGGATCAGCTCAAAGTTGATTTTGTAGCCCTATTATTAAGAATTTTTTACAGTCCCTGTTCCCCATAAGACTGAACACATGTAGCCTATCCTTGTAAAGAAAGTTGTAGGAGTATGTCAAAATTTGGTATGGAAGTGAGGGTTATCCTCTTTATGGTCTGTAACTTGAGTTTAGAGATTTAAGACAGGCTTGATGCTTTTGTGCTTGGCTGCAGCGTGGGACCTTCCCCACAGGTCTGGATGGAAAAGTATTCTATGTGAAATGACAAGGAACTCTTATGGTTCTGCATTTCTGGAAGCCTGTAGAAAGATAGGCAAAGATTTGGAAAAGGTTGGGATTAGAAACCAGTGCAAGAGTCTGAATCTTGGCTTTAGGAGTCAGAACAGGATTCCACCTTGCTATCTCTGTGACTTCAGGCAGGTAACTGTACCTCTCTGAGCTTACTTTCTTGATCTCCTGGGGTTGTGGTGATGGTTAAAAAAGAGCAGATGACATGTCCCTAGCAGAGAATCTGGCCTCAGGCACTTATTGTGTGGTTACAGACCTGTGTGAATCTTGAATAGGAATTTGGGATAGAGAGATGTCATGAACTTGTGGAATAACTTATCAGAAACAATTTTTAACTTAGAAATTTGAGTCTATGAGGAAGAGAAAGCATTCTAATTTTAGCAGAGGTGCCAGGAAATAGAAGTGTTTTTCTCAGGCAACTCCCTTAAATTAACTCTCTAGGGCACAGTTTCCTCATTTGTAAATCGAGAGGATGGGACAAAGACCAATGTGTTTTATATTTTATTGAGAAAAATTAAAGACTCTTTGGGGAGCTGTCTCAGAGAAGGTACATGAAGGCTGAAGTAGAGGCCAAATTAGTTCGAATTGGTTCAGTAGCCCCTCTCTCCCTGACCTCTTTCAACAGGAGGTCTCTGCTTTTATCTGTTTTATATACTGGGATATTAGATAGAACTATTCTCAGAGTTCTATTCCTAAAGTAAAATTGAGTGGGAAACTATGGGAATAGGAGATCTCTGAAATCCTATTGGGAATGATGAAAAGAGAATTATAAGCAGAAAAGGGGGGGGATGGAAGGGATGAACGATCTGTTAGTTCCTGTTTTATATTTCTTTGTTGTAGATTCCTTTGTTGGCCACTTCACTCTTTAGAAATATAATTTAAGGCTGTTTCTTTTTCCATTTTTTGATAATTTGCAAAATCTGTTTGGCTTTACCCAGCCACCTTTTGCCCACTGGTTTATATTTAGTTTATATGTAGGACACAGATTGCACATATATATTTATTACCATAATGATAATTTTCATTATATCAATTCCAATCAGTCTGATTTCATTTTTTTGAGAAAAATTTTCACATATATATTTATTACTTAATCATAATAATTGCCAATTTCTGGACCATAGATTTTTATAGTTGGGGAAGATTGTGTGTAAACTCAACCTTAATGTTTTTAGTTAGAGCATATGACATACTTTTATGTCTTTTAATAATAAACTTACTAAAACTATAAGGCTCAGTTTTTATTCAAGGTTTAATTTTATGAAACTTTATGATGATTTCTTTATTGTTGATTATATCTGTCCAGGTGACCAAGCTGGTCCCAGTTGTCCTTATATGCTCATAGCGAATATGGTTTTATGGAGTGGTCTCTGTAAAAAGGCTTAGCCTTTGGCCTTGTCCATCCCCTGCTTAGAAATCGTTTGTAACTCTGATTGTTTGCAGCATAAAGGCCAAACTCCTTGTCATAGAATCCACTGTTCCTTACCACATAACCCCAGTTGGTCTTCCCAGCTTTTATATCCTCCCCACTCCCACACACTTACACTTTTAGCAACTTAGAACACAAATTCAAGTGAAGTTTACTGTGTCAGAAATTTTCTCTGGAATACCGTTTCTCTTTACTAGTTAAACTCATACTTCTATTCCAGTGGAAATACCCCTTCCTCTGTGAAACTTTGACTTCTTTAAGGCCATTTAATTAGTCTTTTTTCATCCTACACAATTACTACTATACTATAAAAAAGTATAAAGCCCAAAATGTAGTTGTTGAGGGAGTGAATGCATGACTATCCAAAGAGAACCTAAACAAAGCAAAGACTAACATCATTTAATTGACATAAATCATTTTAAATTTTTCTTATTTTACTTTAGTTCTTTACCATTTATTTTTCTTGCTTTTTCAGAGTCTTCAAATATCATTGATTTAGTAGGAATATTTAATTTCTTTTACATGAAATAGCTGAATCAGAAAAAGGATAGTATATTGATTGGGCACATTAAGGCTCTGGGCACCTGTGTGATCCCAGTTTCATAAGGGACTCCTTTTGTGGTTATAGCCTTGTACTGCTCATTACCTTTCACCTCCTACTGGAGTCCCTCAGGCTAGTCCCTCAGGCTAGAATGCGAGTCCAGAGTCACACGGTTTACTGTGTGATGTAATGGAGAAGGAAAATGGGTCCTGTCAGGCTGTCATTATTCTCAGTGGTAAAATAGGGAACAATATCTGCTGTATTATTAATAGTCAGGGTTCTCTAGAGAAACAGAACCAATAGGATGTGTGTATGTATTTCTCTCAGGGGGCAAGAGGAGGAGGAGGAGAGAGAGATTGTCTGAAAGATTTATATTAAGGAATTGGCTCATGTAGTTGTAGAAGCTTAGAAAGTCCAAAATCTGCAAGGTCGGCTGTCACGCTGGAGACCCAGGGAAGAGTTGCAGTTTGACTCCACAAGCAGTCTGCTGACAGAATTCTTTCTTGCTCTTGGTGGTCAGTCATTGTTCCACTAAGGCCTTAAACTGATTTGATGAGGCCCACCCCAATCATGGAGAGTGATCTGCTTGACTCAAAGTCCACTGAATTAAATGTTAATCTCATTTAAAAAATGCCATCTAGACTAATACTTCTAGACTAATGATTGACCAAATAATCTGGGTGCCATGGCCTGGCCAAGTGGACACATAAAGTTAACCATTACATCTACCAGAGTTGTTGTCAGGGTTAAGTATGGTAACACATGGAAGCCACATACATGCACAGTGCCTGGAACATGGTAGCAATTTAAGGGACTTAGAGTAAATGGTAGTTTATTCCCTGCTGTGTCCTAAAATGACAGTCTCCATAGTAATTATACATTTCAGATTGTTCTGAATGCTTGACAGTTGTGGTAATGCCTTGTCCCTAAACTGGTGGTCAGTCATTTGTACCAAACTGATCTTCTTTAACTACTGATCAGTGTTTCTGTAAGACATCTGCATCTTGACTCAGAATTGAACTCATTGCCACTGACTCCTGCAGATCCTTCCTACAATGCCTTCCTTGTCTGCTGTGGGGTGATCACATTAGTGGGCTAAGCTGTTTCAATTTATGTACATCCCTTAGAGTTCTGCTTTCAATTCCTGTTCTAGGTTTCCCTTCCTACTTTTGTTTCAGTGGCCCTGGTATCTAATAAAATGTAGCTGTGTTAGGCCCCTTGGAAAGGCATATTGCTATTGATCTTTCTCTTCCTCTCCTCTTCTTATTGGTTCATCTATTGATGGCTTTCCCCTTAGGTCTGGAGTATGCTGTCACAAATATTGTGTGAATTCTGAACTGATTCTATGTTTGATGACAGAGAATTAATTTTGGAAGGAGTCTGAGAGATCATGTAGCCAAAGTAGCTGGGGCCACGGGCATGTGCTAATTTTTCTATTTTTGTAGAGATGGGGTCTTGCTATGTTTCTCAGGCTGGTCTCAAACTCCTGGCCTCAAGTGATCCTCCCACCTAGGCCTTCCATAGTGCTGGGATTACAGGCATGAGCCACTGTACCCAGCCCAGGATATACTTCTTAATAAAGATATTATGAATTGAAAAAATTGACCATAAATTAAAATGATTAAGGAGTAAGACGGAGAGTAAAGCTGTGCTTAAATGTCTAATGCATTTAGTAATGATAATTATTACTATATATTTATTTTTAATTTAATTTTTTTTAGTGATAGGATCTTGCTCTGTCACCCAGGCTAGAGTGCAGTGGTACAATCATAGCCCACTGCAACCTCGTAGTTCTGGGGTCAAGTGATCCTCCTGCCTTGGCCTCCTGAGTAGCTGGGACTACAGGCATGCACCTCAATGCCCAGCTAATTAAAAAAAATTTTTTTTTTTGGTAGAGTTAGGGTCTCACTATGTTGCCCAGGCTGGTCTTGAACCCCTGGTCTTAAGTGATCCTCCCATCTGAGCCTCCCAAAGTGTTGAGATTACAGGTGTGAACCACCATGCCTGGCCCATTTGTTGAAAACTAAATGCCATAGACAATATGCTAAGTACTTAATAGATATTTACTTATTTAATTCTTATAACTGTCCTATGAAGTAGATGCTATTATTATCCCACTTTATAGGCAAGAAAACTATCAGAGACGTTAAGTGACATGTCTGAGCTACACCACTTATCTGTACCATTTTGTTTTTCTGAAAATAAACTAATGGATTTCTAGTTCTAAAATAGATGTCATTAACTTGCTCCTTGTACTAGTCAGAATAGGCTAGTTTAGGCTGCTT